CTCTTGCTTAGGCTGGTCTCAAACTCCTGAGCTCAAGCAATCCTCCCACCTCAGCCTGGCAGAGTGCTAGGATTACAGGCGTGAGCCACCATGCCTGGCCAAAATAAATGTTTATTGAATGAATGATGAATGAAATGGAGGAAACAAATTACTTATTCAAATGATACATTTCTGTAAAAACTGCCATTTTAAGCAGAATTATGGTAAACAGCTCTATGAAATTATAGATTTCTGTATAAATGTCGTTGAGGATAATTTTCGATTCATTCCACATCGTGCTCTTAAAAATGATCCAGTGAAAGTATTTTTCAGGTTTAGTTGCAATTCTGAGTACTTTTCTTTTTAACTCCTAAAATACAAACCGTGTAATGGAGGGAGGTTAGGAACTCACCATCAGACTTCAATGTTCCCCAACCAGTGACCACCACATCTGAATTGGGTGGGAATGTATAAGTAGCTTCTGGAAGACATGCTCTTCGGATGTTGCTCGTATATAATACTGGTGAAGACAGGTGCACAACAGCAATGTCATTATCATGTGCCGGGTAATGGTAGTTTTCATGAATTATAATATCCTTGATACTTCGCTGTGTTTGTGGATCACTTAAAAGAAGCCCAAAACTAGCATTCCATTCTCTGGGATCATTGTCTCTAAAGAAAATAGATTTGTTTATTAGAAGTTCTATATATTGGCGTTGTAGGAATTAACCTCTTACACTTTTTTAAACAATTATGTTTCGAGTTTCCATAATGCTTATAAGCATACAAAATAGAGCTGTATATAAAAGAAGAAATAAAAATGATGATAAGAACACATTTTGAATAACTCAATAAGCTATGTTTTAGAAGATAACTCATGGAAACTACATTTTATTTCTTATTTTGTACAGAAAAGACTCAATGGGATTTATAAAGATAATGACAAAAAGATAGTAAGAGCAAATAAAGAGTTGGCAAGGACATGGGATAGAGTGAACTTAGGGAAATTAAGAAAATAGCATAAATCCTCTTTTTTAACCATTAAAAACTATAAATAGGAAGATATTTTTGACTTTTATTTTTATTTGTTAATCAATGATTTTTATATTAAGTACTGAAGAATAGTACTGCTGGAACATTTTCAAACTCTACTAAAGTAACATAATAAGCAAGCATGATTTCGATGAGAGTTGATCAACTTTAAGAGGGATTTTTATTTAAAGAAAAACCAATAAGTGCTACATAAAACCAATAGAAATTAATGTGATGTACCATCAAACAAAAGGGTAAAAATCTTTTAGGTAATAAAGGGCAAACTTTTGGTGCAATAATATATATCTTGTAAAGAAATCATTATTTTAAATGGGGCTGTACATATATGGGAGGATGTAGAATTAATTAAAATACTTAAGACTAAATAAATAAAACCAAATGTGATAATAATGAGAAAGAAATAAAAGACCCATGTCCAAATTGGGATGTATAGTTTCTCTATAAAATTGAAGAACAGTAAATGCCTGTAACCTAGTGGTTCACAACTGGGGCCGTTTTGTCCCCCACATTTGGCAATGTCTGGAGACATTTTGGTTGTCAACACTGAAGGATGCTACTGATGAGTGGAGGCCAGGGATGCTGCTGAATATCCTACCCTGCACAGGACAGCTTTCCATAACAAAGAATTATTATGTGGTCTAAAACGTCAATAGTGTCACTTTTGACAAACCCTGCTCCAGTCTGACTGTGTCTGTTATTTTACTGATAATCCATGGAGTAGTTTTGAGGCTATATCTCACAATACTGGCTAGGTGGAGGCATAGTTATGTGGCCATATTATTAAAAAATATTATCCGACTTTTAGATAGTTGAGTGGCTTTGAGGTCTTACTTTATGAAACAGTGAGCAGCAGTGATAAGCCAGCTGTTACTAATCAGAGTGGCTCCACATCGGTGGACACTGTTCCACTGGAGGCTAGCTTGCCAGGGCCATTCCCCTTCCTCGGCATCCAGGCCCCCTGCTACTTTGTTGCCAGAGGGAGTTATTGTGCGTTGTCCACAACCTGCTCAAAATAGAGTTCATTAGCATTGATATTGCTTATTCATTTCTATTGCTATAGTAAACAAACTCCCATAATATGTGTCCCCATTAACTATTAATTGAGAAAAACTCACAGATTTGGAGAAGTTAGGACTAACTTATTGCTGACATGAGATTTCCTGAGAATTCATTCAGAATAGATTAACGTCTCCCCCCACCCCCATCTCCATCACTCACATATACTCTGTGTATCTCTGTGGCCTCACCATGACCTGATATAAGAGGTAGGTGGAATTAAATGTTTGAATTTAGAAGACAATAATTGTTTAAGTTATAATACTAAGTTGTACAGGGAAATATGTGCTTTTTAATTTCAATGAGCAGTTGTTATAGAGTGATGAGTGCTATGAAAACATTCATAAGAAAGTGCGAATGAACATGAATGTGAATAAGATATTGATGAGACAATAGACAGAAATATGTTCCCACTCAAGTCACAACACACAATGCCTGGATCAAAGGAATAACACATGGAGATAATATCATAACTTTGGAGATAACCAGTCTCCAAAGTTACATGCATCTCCAAATCAGGAATGTGCTCTAGTGTCTGTTTAGAGCCAGAAAAACTAGTAGATTCTTAAGTCTTTAATGCAAATCTGCAGTAACAACACTTCACTATTATTCTTTCCATTTATCTTTCTGACTCTCTCTTTCTTTAATTCCCTTGACTATCTTCATTTTACTCCAATTACAGCACCAAGCTTGTTCCTTAACAGGTTACGGTATCTTTTACTAGAGTTTGTCATTTCCTAATAAATATTTTTAGAGGGCAGGAGCCATATCTTTTTTAAAAAAATGTATCTCTAGAACCTACTACAGGGAACCTATCACATAAAAATAACTCAACAAATGTTTGTATAAATGCAGTCTAAATGAAAGTCTATATGAAGTCCATGAGACATCTTGAAATAAAAAATCATACTTAATTGCAAAGCTATTTTCTGTAATGGGTCTGTTCCAAAGCATTTGGAGAATGAAAAAACTTGCCATAATCAATATGTGGTCATAGATTAAAGTAACGGCTCTCAATCAGGGACAATTTTGGGCATTGTCTTTCCAGGAGATATGTGTTTGGCAGGCTGGAGACATTTTTGGTTGTCACAATTGGGGCCTTGGGAGGCTACTGGTATCTAGTGGGTAAAGGCCAAGGATACTGCTAAATACCCTGTAATACTATGGTCCCCAACCACTGGGCCATGGACAGGTAACAGTCCCCAGCCCGCCAGGAACCAGGCGCCCAGGGGAGGCGAGTGGAGGGTGAGCGAGTGAAGCCCCACCTGCACCCACAGCAGTTCCCCATCGCTTGCAACGCCGCCTGAGCCCCGCCCCCCATGAGATCAGTGGTAGCATCAGACTCTCATAGGAGTGTGAACCCCACTGCAAACTGCGTGTGGGAGGGATCCAGGTTATGTCCTTTCCATGAGAACCCAAAGTCTGATGATCTGAGGCGACGCTGAGGTGCCCCCCCAGCCCCCCTTGGAAAAACTGTCTTCCATGAAACCAGTTCCTGATGTCAAAAAAGGTTGGGGACTGCTGCTGTAATACATAGGACAGCCCCTGAAACAAAGAATTATCTGGCTCCAAATGTCAACAGTGTTATGGTTAAGAAACCCTAGATGAAAGAAAGGTACTTATACCAAGAATGAAAATACTTAGTAAGTTGGAAAGGGCAGATGGTCAGTTGCCTCACAGAAATGTTAATTATATGTGACTAGATGTACTTTGAGGTATTCTTTCCTGAGGGTAGAAAGGCATTAGAAACATAGGGAAGAGTCATGTAAACTTT